GCAGTACAGCCCCCAACTCCGATCTGAAAAAAAAACAGTGGACGACTGTTTTCTGACTGGTTGGCAGACCGCCGACCGGTCGGCCCTACTGGTCAGCTGCAAAACGGTCGGCGGTCGGGGTCGGCGGTCGGCGGTCGGCAGGTATGCAACCTGCCTGAGTTCGAATCCTGATGCAATCAGACGAATGAAACAACTCTGAATTACCTGGTTCCAATCAGTCCGATGATTGCTGATGCCTCAAGGCCACCTCCCGTTTTGTGAAACGAAAGAAAAAAGGGAAACACATCTCTCTTCTTCCATCCCTTGTTGCCATACTCTGATCATTGGCATCTGCAGGCATTCTCTCTCACCTACATGCTTCGCCAAACCTCGCTATCTCTCAGCCTCAGCTTTCGTTCCCTCCTTATGAACCTGTGTGCCTCACCGTGTCTACACCCTCTCCTCGACCGTTTAATCTCTTCCTCCACTTCTCTGAACCTGAACCCTATCCTGCTCTCACTCCTCCCTGGCTATCCTCGAACTCCTACCTGTGCCATGACGGAGCCTCTTCCCTCCCCATGCCTACGTGCCCCCCTCTGCCATCTGAGACGTCTGCAAACCTTCTCCCATGCCACATTTACCTTGGCGGTAACCCCTTTGGGATCTACCATCATCCCTCCTTTGCACATGGTCGCTTGCCTAAGAGCATTCCTGCATGCCGCAGCCGCGAGGAGCTTATAAGCTTTGATATCTACCCAAAACGGTTCGGTGCACCATACCTATTGAGTTGCCTTCACACAATCCATCGGTTGGTTTTGCACACCCATTGAGATGTAATGATGGATACAATGCACCTACAAACTCGATGCTGCATTTCTCATCTTGTGCAATGTTTCTATTGTGCATATTAGTATGATAGTACACATTTCTCCCCTCCTCTGCTTCACAATACTCCCCTTTAGTGTTGCAAGCGGAGCTGCATTTGGCTGTCTCCTCTTATTTGATGGTGCTCAGCAGATGAGGTCTTGCATTGGGCTCATATTGACTTGCATCTCTCTCTCTCTCTCTCTCTCTCTCTCTCTCTCTCTCTCTCTCTCTCTCTCTCTCTCTCTCTCTCTCTCTCTCTCTCTCTCTCTCTC